AGACACACACACACACACACACACACACACACACACACACACACAGAGAGAGAGAGAGAGAGAGAGAGAGAGAGAGAGAGAGAGAGAGAGAGAGAGAGAGAGAGAGATGGGGAAGTCCTGTGCAGAAGCGCAGTCCCTGACCCCTGGATATTGCCGGCCCGTTACCACCAAAAAACAGAACAGCTCTTCTCCAGCATTGGTGGCAATAAGCAAAGCTATACTGGCGCACGGAGACCTCTCTGTCACAAACAGCATCTCTATGAGAGTCCTCCACTAGTCTGTGTTCTGCACCGCTGTCCACTCTCCGGGTTATTCATCACTACTGTAAGCCCCCAGATACTGCTTGGCTATGCCTAGAGTGCTCAGGGACGTATGCAGCTTTAGAGTGGGTAACCACCGTAGCCAAGTACAAAGTCAGGGAGTAGGTAATCGCGGTGGGGGGTTAGGATATGGCAACCCTGGCTTCTAATGGGTTCATACAACTTCGCAGAAATTGTGTCATCTGCATGGACACCAGGGGCTGCAGTGGGATTACCGTTCCACAGAACTGGTTTAACAATTTAACACAGGTTAACAATTAGTTTGAGCACTCCTGGGATGCCTGTTCCGAATGCTGACTCCTATGGGTCAGCATTCAGAACCAAGTTACCTGCTGGGACAGCTTATTCATTAGAGCTGGGATCGTTGTTCTAGAGAACTGGTTCAACACATAGGTTACCATAGTTTTGTTAAATCGGGTACTCCTCAGTAACAAAAGAGTTGAAAAAACTTCAAAGAAGTATGGTTTAACTTGACCAGCTTAAGAGTAGTGTGAACTTTGAATCTGGTTTAACTGAACCAAATTAACAGCAGGGTGAATCCTTTGTTACAGAATAATTCATATGTATGTGACGGTAAGAATCCCCGTGCCAGGAAGAAACTCAAGATGGCCCCCTATTTGTCTTTTGCAATGTCGGAAAGACGAGCCCTATTGAGATGTCTTAACCTGTCTGTCATATTTGATGGGAAACGTTTTTGGGAAGTTTGGACTCTCGACTTATCAATCGATAGTCGAGACGTGTCGAAGAGAACCATCCCATCCTGGATTTGACAGGCAGCTTTAATTATGTTTTAAAATTTTCATTGAAAAAAAAAACAATTGCAAGGAATATGAGTGGGAACGAAATACAGAAAGCCAAGTTGCGAAATCACACAGATCTCCAAGTAGTTGTGTACAAGCAGAGAGCACAAATGCACCGAGATGCCATCCAAATAAGAGCAATACAATGAAGTCGTGAGCCAATGTTCAAGCCCTCAGGCCCAGCGCCCAGCCTACACTACTTGTCTATCCTACCTACATCAGCATTCACGCAACAGGCTACTTCGACTCTGAACACCAATGTACATGACGTCAACACCATAGCCGACCTCCCTCATGCACCAGGTACGTATCTCGTCTCCCCTCATCAGACTGTGACCACCCACACTCGCCTCCTTCCTGAAGACCACCGATCGCCCGCTTACCCCCTAGCGCCCTGCAGCCCGGCTATGGTTGCTCGCGCTCTGCTGCCCGGCAGTGCCCCTCTCACCTCTCAAGCGCCCGCGTGCGCCCTGGCCACCAGCGCAGCATGCAGCGTCTCGTGCAGCAACGCAGCACCGTGACCGCATTGTCTGCGTGGGCCAGGATGCCTGGCTCTTGCTGCCTCCCTCCCTATATGGAAGTGGCAGCTTCTCTTTGGCTGCGTGTGGCCTGGCTGGGAAGCTTCCAGTAGCTTTCGGTCAGGTCCCAGTGCCTGCGCCCAGGCCCAGCTGTGCAGTTGAGGGCCTGGGCCCTTTACAGTTGGGCACGACCAATATTTCTAGACTTGGGCCGTTTGCTGCACTTGCACAGGATCCGGGGTATGTACGTCTACAATGCTGCTTTTGCGGAGGCCCGCAGCCAATTCGTGATGTGTCTGCCTTGCATTGTGTGTGTGTGCCCAGGTGCAACTACCAAGACCTGGGCCCAACTGTACGACACAACAAAGGGAGGTTCACGCTTCCACTCAACCAACTGGCGTGCTGCAACTGCCTGAGTACCCACATATGAAAAGAATGTCGAATTTTGGCCTCTGGTGAATATTCAGGCCCACCTTCACTTAGGGCGGGCAAGGGGCTTGCTGAGGGCCTTAGTCTAGAACATGTGCACGTCTGATAAGGTCCCTACGAGGGCTCATTCCCCACATTACATCCCCATTAGCTTCGAAAGTCCGCTGAGATGCTTCATGCTGGTGCCTTTCCCTTCAGTCTTCGCTCGTACTCAGCCACGATCTGAGGAGCTGTCTTGACAAGTTCCTATCTTGTGAACCATCGATCTTCCATAGGATCCGTATGATGCCTAAACCGTACCCTGTACTCTCTCATAGGTTTAGGCGGTCTACCTCGGCCAGGGAACAGACATGTCTCTGTGTTCCAGGATACCGTAGACGTCCACGTGGCCGTCCATGGTTGGGGGCAGCATTGATCTCTGTGATGGGAATTGCTGTGGCTCAGCGAAAGGTGCAAGCTTTGAGGCGTGAAACACAGGGTAAGTGCGTAGCTGACCAGGGATTCGAATTACGTACGAGGGACCATCCAAATCACTACCCATAATATCTAAGACTTTCCATGGACCAAAATACTGAGGCATTAGTTTTCTAGAGATGCTGAATTTCTGCCCCAACTTACTAGCCTTGACCCAGACACGTTCCCCTACCTGAAATGTGGACTGTTGGCGATGCTTGTTCTCAGAAGCAATCATTGCTTCCTGTGATTTCTTGATATGTTTGACAGTCTGCTGCAACAGCTTCTCATACTAGATACAAAACTTTATGGTTACAGGGGTCGCAGCAGTTCGATTTTCAGGCAGGAGGAAGTCTAAAGCAGATCTGGGCCTCCACCCCAAATGCAGCTGATTAGGACTGACACCGGTGGTGCTATGTGCAGCACTGTTGTACAGGCTGGCGATGAGAGGCAACTTCTCATCCCAGTCATCCTGGCTGGGCTTATAGTGCCTCGGCAGATGCCGCACCACATGCTTCGTCTGTTCAGGCTGCCCATTGGCTTCGGGATGATTCCCATAAGCCATTTGGAGCTGGCTGCCCATCGGTTCAGCGGCCTTTTTCCACAGTCCTGGCAGTCTCGGGCATGGTTCATCCATTCAGCATGCCCATTGGCTTCGGGATGATTCCCATAAGCCATTTGGAGCTGGCTGCCCATCTGTTCAGCGGCCTTTTTCCACATCTCGCTGGTGAACTTGACATCTCTGTCACTAACAATGGTCTATGGCAGTCCAAAATCACGCGCCCAGTTATCCATGAATAACTTGATGACGTGCTCAGTCCTCGCAGTCTCGGGCATGGCAATAAGTCTAGCGTACTTGGTGAACCTATCAACTATGATGAAGATATGCCTCTTGCCACTCTTGCTGGTCACGAGGGTATCCATGAAATCCATGGAAACACTCTGTCCCGGACCAGCAGGAATCTGTGTCTTTTTAACGGGGAACGGGGGAATTAAACTCCTGTTGAATCCCGTTAAATTCAAAAGAATCCTGTTGAATTCGCGTTAAATGCGAAAATGGGCCACTCCCGCGCTTTTCGGAAAAACGGAATTGATGCGCGGGGTTCGGAACACGTGGCCCTAGGCAAAAAAAAAAATAAAAAAAAAAATCCCCCCAACCCTTGAATCACCTCTTAAACCATCGAATTAGACCAACACCGACTGGCCTGCCACCCGCCACTCACCAACCCCCAACGCCCCAGTTATGTGTGTGTAGATGTGATGTGTGCGCGTATGTGTGTATGTGTGTGCCTGCGCGTAAGAGTGTGTATGTGCATGAATATGAATGTATGCTACTATGCGCGTGTGTTTGTGTATGTGTGTGTTTGTAAGTGTTTGTGTGTGTGTGCATGATTGTTGGCGTGTGTCCATTGTTTCCCTTTTGAGGGATAGAGTTTTTTCCCGTTGAAAACTGGGGGCGGGAGATATGGGTTTGGGCGGGCAATTTGGGTCTGTGTTTTTTTTTTTTTTCTCTTCTACTACATCTTCCCAGAAATACAGTATCCAAGCATTCTGTTGTTTGTTCCCGAGTAACGAAATCTAGAACGGACTGCCATGCCTCGTTGGCAGGGCTTGCTAAGAAAAGAAAAGAAAAAAAAAGCGTACTTACCTTTGCCACGAGGTTTGTGGACTCCACTCTGACCGAATGTGCAAAATGAGCATGAATCTGGTAGAACATAGGTAGATACACTGCTAGTAGTTTAGAGCTTGAAATGCCATTTTTCCTGGCCGCGTGTGGGGCTGCACAGCCCTCAATAGCTTGCTATTCGTTTTTCAGTTTTTTTTTTTTCTTCTTTTTCTTCCCTCTTGCGATCCAAGAATCTGGGCTCCGTCCAGCGGCCTAGCTCAGTTGGTTAGGCACGCAAGTGGCATTCAGGAGGTTGTGGGTTCAATCCCCGCCTATGGCACTCTCGATGCCAACCGACTGAGATAGTCAGCCATATCCTCCCAGTCTGTATCAGTAAGGTCCTCGGCCAACACAACTGGGAGGCACCCCCTGTCCCTACTATACTACCTCAGTGTGACCAGCACTGAGGACCATCACCCTACCAGTATTGAGGGCAACTTGGACCACACAGCAGTGACAAGCACCAGGGTTGGGCCAACCTCCCAGCCCTAATAGAAGCGGAGGCGGACGAACCATGCCGTACGGGAACCTCGAACGCCAGACTGATGCAATCTGCTACAGGCCCAATTCTGTGTGTGTGTGTCCTTTTTTCCTTTTTTTATTTGCTTTTTATGGTTTTGATTTTTTTTTTTAAATACACGAAGTTTTAAAAAAAAAAAAAAAAAAAAAAGTTGTACATCTTTGAAAGATCCACAACCCTATATTTTTTATTTGTTTTTTTGTTTTTGTTTTAGCCCTTAAAAAATCTGTGTGAAACCAAAAAAAAAAAAAACTCGTTTCATTTTAGTTTTTGTTTTTTTATTGTGTGTTTATGTTTTTGATTTTTAAATAATATATTTAAACATCAAAAATAAAAATAAAAATATAGGGTTGTAGTCCTCAAAAAAACCTACAACCCCATTTTAATTTTTTTTTTTTTTTGGATAATTTTTAGCCGAGGAAAAAAATCATCGCGGACCTCGTTAATTCGCGTCCAACGCGCGTTTGAACGGGAGTTTAACGCGAATTCAACGAGCGTTGAATTTTTCAACGCGGAACCCGTGTTGAATTCAAAATCAGACACACAGGAAGGAATGGGTAGGGGCTTTAATAACCCAAGCGGGGCTTGAGTCCGCGGCTTGTCCCACAGACTTGGCAAGTCTGAACATATGTCTTCGCATCGTCAAGCATGTTAAGCCACCAGAATCGCTATACCAAGTTAGCACTAGTCTTCTTGTAGCCGAAATGTCCTGTTGCGTCATGGCGCTCACCTAAAAATAAACTACGCAAAATTTCCCTAGAGGGAACAACTAACCTTTTAAATCCCGCCTTCTCAAGAAAGAGCAACCCATCCACCATCACAAACTCATCAGTTGTGGCCTTGTCCTGGGCCTCAAGTTTGGGAATGATGTCCATCGTGACAAGGTCTTCCTTGTAGGCTTCCACCAAGGAACTCGGTAATCAGCGCACCTAGGTAGTCTGCCCTACGTGACAACGCATCAACAACCTTGTTGTACTCTCCCTTCACATAGTCCATCTTGAAGTCGACTGATCTATGACTTCAATCCAGCGTTTGAGTGCATCGGAGAGAACAGGTTGTGTCTTGATCCACTTGAGAGTTTGATGGTCAATTCTCAAGTAGAAGAACCTTCCCAACAGATAGTGCCTCCAGTGGACAAGTGCGTTATAGAGGGCGGAAAGTTCCCTTTCGTAGGTGGACTTCACCAACTTCTTGCTCATGTACTCGATCGGCCTCCACTTTTTCCCTTCCTGTTGAGCCAGCATTGCGCCAATGCCATATTGGCTTGCATCAGTGGTCACAACAAATGACCTTTGAGGATCGGGGACCATGAGAACCTCATGATGTGTAAAGGCATGCTTCAATTTCTTGAAAGCAGTCTCACATGCGTCTGTCGATTCCCATGGAGTGTCAAGGCACGTTAGATCAGTGAACGGAGAGGCAATGGTACTATAGTTATGTACAAAGTTGCGATAATAACCACTGCCGAATCCCTTGAGGCGACTTATCCTTTTAGCCAATTAGATGTTGAACCCTCTAGATAGGATGCAGCAGTTGTCATTTCCTCATTACCAACGTCCTCTTTGCCCTCACCCACACTAGCACCGACCTCAACCAAGTGTCGAGAGCCTCATCCTTATCTCCTGAGATGGTTGAGGGTGGTTTCAATGGGGTCTTGGGGTACCAAGTTTGTTGATGTCCTGCTGGTGGGGCAGGTGCCAACTGTGGTGTAGCTCCAGATGGTGGACTAGAAGAATTAGAAGCAACAGTATGTGTTGCTGCTGCTGAAGTACCGCTTGGTGTGGCACCAGACTGAGGCGGATAAAGGCCTATCATCGCGTGATAATGGCAGCGATGGCAAAACTGCCGGCCTGCAACCTGGCCTGTGCATGGCATTCAGGATCTGGTCCAGGGTGTCCTGGATAGCGTCCAGTTTGCTGTCCATGTATGCGTGCATGGACAGGATGCTCACCTTGAGAATCTTTGTGTTGTTGTCAAGCGTTAAGTCATCAAACCCCTGTAATGCAGCTTTGTCTGCCTCTCTTCCCTCTAGTTTGACACTTCTATTTCTAATCTCATATTCTCTTTCGGTAGCCTCTTTAAGTTCCTTCTCTAACATTAAGCGGATCCTCTCTACCTGCTGGAGCTCCATCTGTTCCCTGGTGCGTGGAGGCGGCGAGCTGGACTGCAAGCCTGCCATCTATCTGGTTTCCGATCCTGTCGTACTGGAGATGGGCTGCTCGTTAGTGTCCGACATTCCAAGCGAAAAACCAGACGAGGTTGCTGCAGATGTTGCTGCAGAGGTAGCCATTGCCACTGCGCTAGCTTCTGCTGCCGCTAATGTCCTCTCTACAGCTGCCGCTGCTTCCCGGGCAATCTCAAGATTACGGGCCCTTGCTTCGGCCCTTAGCCTTCTTTCTTCTCCTGGTAGCAGGACCTGGAACACGACCAGTATTCTAAGCGTATCACGTCGAGTTTGAATCTATCATCAGCTGTACCTTCACCACCCTCCGATCCACTCATCGGCTAGGCAGATGCTGTCTGCACAAGTGTTCTCTCCGGAACTTGCCGCAACATGCGTCTGACCGGTTTGAAAAATAATAAAATAATAAGAACATCGGAAAATAATAAAATAATAATAACATCCGGCAAGTAACGACTACCGTTCAAGCGGTATCAACATCATTTACACAGACTGTACACATAATCTAAATCTACTTTGATTAGTTTTCTTACAGAAGCTTTGAGAAGAACATTACAGTCCTAATCTAGGCTGTTTGTGAGGTGTCAGCAGTCAGTCAACCAACTAGTCAAAATAGAAATAAACTATGTGAGCAGATATATGCACAACGGGTATAGTTGTGTTTCCCAGTTGAGTCTCAATTGGAATATTCCTCCCCTGTATCCAGCGTGCCTGTAGGCATCATCAAGTGGTAGTGTCTAAGGTGTGCATTAGCGGCCCACCCCTGTGCCCAAGGCATATGCGCCCACCCCTGTGCCCAAGGCATATGCTTATGACCAGAACTGCCCGTTATTTATCCATGCGTGCAACGAGCCTTACGTCTGACTGATCTGGCTGATCAAGAGGCCAGACGGTCTGGATAGCGTCTGCATAGGACTGGTCAGTCCGTACACCCCTTCTATCAGCGCAACAAAGGACAAAGCAGCATGGCCTCCGTGTACTACTCCCATGGGTTGGCATGGTGACTGTGACCTGAGCTTCGACCAGGGCCCTTCAGAGGCACCGCCCTCTCCTGCCAGATGCACCACCGGGAAGAATGTCGTCTCTCAAGGTAGAGCGCTCACGACTCCTCACACACAAGAGAGGACACTCAAGGTTGGACTCACTTCCTCTCGGTAAGAAGAGATTGAGAGGGTAGATAAGGTAAGGGAACAACGTACCTGGATATAGCTGCCCCCAACCACAGAATTCTCACCAATTGAGCCGATGTGCATTTTGATGACTGGTCATAGCTTCGGTACCACCCACAACGCAATGCAGTGCCACCTCAACCAAAATGCCACATCAACATGCTCTCATCATCAACCCATACGCCTAAAGCTTAGTCGCCCTCCCCGTGACACTGCACACCGAGCCGATTCTTTTCAGGAACATTGGGCCATAGGATCTTGATCTTTGCGGCTTCTGTTGCTGGAGAACTGATTTCTTAATGGTTTTGCGAGCTCTACTTTTGCAGCATGTCGGCTTTTTGGGGTGCTGTTGTGTCGACACGTGTGTGCCCTCTTTGCTCTTTGCTCGTGTTTGTATTGCGTTGTCGTCGTTGATTTCTCCGCTATCTAGCGATTTCGCCGTGATTTGGGTTGTGTGGTGTTTGTGGAGTGTAGCGGCGTTGTGTTTTTTTGGATGGATGTGGTCACGATATGAGACGCGATGCTCTTGGGCAAGGTTCAGCGTCCTCTGTGGTTTGTGTTGCTCTGGAATCTGGATGTGGTCTCGATATGAGGCGCGATGCTCTTGGCCGACATTCGGTGTCCTCTGTGGTTTGTGTTGCTTTGGATGTGGTCTCGATATGAGG